CAGCCCTGGCCAGCAAGGTCTTGCCCGTGCCAGGGGGTCCGTAGAGCAGCACACCCTGCAACAGCCACGTGGACACCTCAGCATCGCTGCCAGGCCAGGCTCAGCACCCACCCAGGCACCCACACCTCGACAGGAGACACAGGGACACCCCCAGAGGTGCCACCAGAGCACTCCTGAATGCTGACCCCCACCACAGACCCAGAGCAGCAGCACTTGCCTTGGGCTGGGCGATCCCCAGCGCCTCAAAGAGCTCAGGGTGTTTGACTGGCAGCTCAATCACTTCCTTGATCTCCTTTATCTGCTTATCCAACCCCCCGATCATCTCGTAAGTAGAATCTGGAACTTTCTCCACCATCATCAGAGAGACCAGAGGGTCCACTTTGTTGGGCAGGATCTTGTGCAGGGTGTAGCTGTCGTTGCGAAGGGCCACGCGGCAGTTGGGGGTCACCTGTGGTGACAGCAGTAGCAGGAAAGGGGTCAGGCAGTGCCAGGTCGTGTCCCCTCCCACAGCCCCACCCCACTCACGTCGTTAATGTCAATGTTCTTGTCCACATCCACCACGAACTTCCCCTCCGGGTGCACCTGGAAGGAAGGAGATGGCACTGTCAGTTGTTTCTCTGAGCAGTTGCCTGTCATGTGTGTGATATCCACACCGGCTGCTTAGGATGGGAGAAAGGAACCAGAGAGCTCAGCTGCTGCCCAGCACCCTGCAGCCTTTTTTAGTCCCACCAGCCTGGGGAAGGTTTGGAGCCAGCAGAGCCACCACAACGTGCTCCTCTGGAGAAAGAGCTCTCACTTCACGTCTTTCAGTTGTTAGATCTCTTCAGAGCCCGCGCTCACACTTCCCCCAAGCCCTGTGGGGTCACAGTGAGGGTCTGATGGACCCCACCCCACTCACCCTTGGTCACCCAGGACAGCTCAGTCCCCTACCTTGACGAGCACCTTCTTCTTGTCCATGGCTCTCACCACTTCTCCCACGTAGGAGCCTTGTTCCTGCAGCAGCTGCAGCTCCTCCCGCAGCAGACGCACTGCAGAG